AATATGTCAATTCTTAATGCTTTAATTCATTCTAACTCAAAGGAGAGTTGCTGTAGAGCACTTGATCAGTTGTGTATCCTGATGGACTCCAGATAGAACATGAGATCATTTAATTTCACTGTGAAAATAGGATTAGTTATAGTCTTGTGATAAAAGAACCCAATAGACAGACAAACAAACAAAGAAAAAAAAAACAAAGAAAACCCCCCAAAAGACTGGAGTCTGCTTCACATCACTTTGATGTGAAAGAAACTGATGGTAACATTTTTGTAGAAAAGACATAAAATGTGAAGCCTTGGCTGTCAAAAGTAAAGCATACATTGGCAACACATCTAAGTCATAGTATTTATGTCAGGATGAACCACCGCTGCAATGTAAACTTTCAATTCAGGCTGAATGAACTCTCTTTTTACCAAATAAACCAAAATAATCCAATTGTAATCTTCACCTCTGTGTTATCTCTGTAGGTTCAAAATTTAATTCCCAAAATGGTGACTGACATTTATAGACTTTGGGCTGAATCCTCAGGCACACAAGTACTGATTTACATTGGGTGTAAACACTCTTGCTTTCTGTGAGTTGTTTCGGTATGTTATGGCATTTTTCTTACCAAATTAATTCTTCAGCATCAATGTCTTTAACTTCCTATTGGCTTTGCAAACCATTCTGTGAGAAATGAGGTAGAGAGGGAAAAAAAGTAGAGGCATATTGCACCCTACTTTTGTTACTTAGTTATTATAATGATGTGCCTTATTATTTTCATACTGTTTCCTTAGGCATAGCTCCTCCATCTTCACCATAGAAAGCAAAGAACATCTCCAGGTATCTATTTGTATTTATGTGTACAGAATCTTCAGTAAATTCCTGCAGATTTTCACTGTGAGACTCAGGGATATTTTTAACCTTACTCATCATATTTGCAAATATTTTCTGGTTTTCAGATATATCAAACAGCAAAACGAGAACACCTAATGCCATTCAGCCAACCTTGTCTTTACTGTAGTATTAAGGTACAGCTTTTTGGTAGCTTCTCATTCAGTACTAAATTTTACTTGAAAGAAAAAATATCTAGGAGAATTTTTCCTGCCATAAAGTTTATTTATTCAGTAGCAAAATTTGTGTTTCAGAACTCTGTGTCTCAGCTGAAAAATTCAGATCAAAATTACTGCTGCAGTGCACTGTCAGTGCTGCAGCTTAGTGTCAGCTCCTGCACAAGATTACCTCTCCAATGATGTATTGTTCCTATTTTTTCAGAAAATATCCTGGAGAAGAATAAGAGAAAAAGGACCATAAGTACATGTTTTTATAAAGCGTGTCAGAGTCATTTCTGAGTCAACATAATGATGCTTAAGGAAGAAAAAATTTTAGCTAAACATTAAAAATATTTTTGTTTCTATTCCCTTACTGAGTGAATAGTATTATTGTGAACATTATCTGAAGAAAGAAAAATTGTGAGTGTTGATTTGTTGATTCAACTCTTTCTAGTATTGATTTCGTTCCCTCTCATGTTTTCTTTGCAATGCAGGGCATTTCCGTGTACTGCTTGCAGCGTGCTTCCAAGTCTGTTTCCATGATGTTTTCCTCTGATAATGGTTTCTTTAGATGCTCAACAGTTCTAACTATCCTCTATGTCTGCATCAACAGTACTGATGTCTGACCAAGACTTAATTTTTGGCTAGTTTATTTTTAAGTGGAAATGGAAGGATGTTCTTCAAAATATTTTCTAGCTATAGGTCTGAGATTGCACCATGTATCATTGCAAGATGGTCTGCGGTGGAGCAAAGAAAATCTGTTTGATAATACCTCTTCGCCGAAAATACACAATTTTTTTGATCCTGCTAGTTGATGCTCTGACAGTGGGAACAGTGAAATTGTAGCAATGCTTATAAAAAGTCTAAAAAAGGCTGTGTCTATGGAAACACATGATTTCTAGTTCAGGTGTCCATGGGCTTCTCTGCATTACATTGTGTTGCTTTTTGAATGGTTTTGTTTTGACAATGATATTGTGATGGTACATGGAGACTCTAGTTATGGATTTAGCCCTTCTTATTTGGGCACTGTATCTGTTTGGAAAGAAAAGGTGGCAACTCTTCCAATGAACTTACAGTGTTATTTCCTGTGTGTCGAAGAGAGAGTTTTGGAGTTCTTTTTGAGACAGCACCCAGATATCTGGGAATTGATCTCTTGGGCTGGTGTACAATATTATGATGTCCTATCCCTTCTTTCAAGAGTCAGACCTGGCAGGGAGATGGGTTAATTTGTTTCCGTGCAATATAATTGATGTGACGTGATTATCCTGTTTATTACCTTCCAGCATAAACATGAACATTACGTGGCAGCAATTCCCTATGACACTTTGCAGGTTCAGCTGGGCTGGTTTTCTACTCCTGAAGCAGGATGCAGTTTAGCATATCTGTCACTCTTTGATACGTATCTGGTTACTAATACCCTCTGAAATGAGTTACCTAGAAAATTTATAAAATCTCTCTTGCTAGAGCTAATGCTCTAAGAGCTGAGGCCTCATGGGTTGCTGAGTTGGTGTTAAATGTGGATCATCAGGTTGTGGGACTTTGTTTTTACTCTTATTAAGGGTGAACAGCCTTGCTAAAGACTGGACTGTCTTCTCAGGTTGGCTATAGGTCTATTGTGTTTAGAAAGGATGAAGGACTGAAGAGAGATCCTACCCCACAGCTCTGTGTAGATACAAGCATGTAAGACACAAGTGTAGTGCTTGTTTGATACTCTGAAAATGTTGAATACCTTTCTTCTTAATCAGGAGTCATAGCTAGTATGTACAACAAAGAGATATCCCAGATCATAAATGAACAAATTCTCTAAAACACACATACATAATTAGTGCATAACTGACAGATAGCCTGCTTCATGGGCATCAGCTAAAGAAGTAACTATGCAAAGTTAATATTATCTTTTTTAAAATGTTAAAAATCAATAGAAGAATTGTAGAAAATAATGTGTGTGAGAGAGATAAAGAAAATATTTGAATACCTCTTTTACCAATAAATTGTTATGGACAGGTATATTGCATTTTAAAATTGCAATAATAAGTCTAAAAATATCCTAATATTACACACAAGAATTAGAAACATCTGTATTTGCAATGTTAAAGTAATTTCTTACCTCCTATGGACATCGAAAACATGCTGAAAAACTGGAAGATGTTTCATGTTTGGACAGTATCAGAAGACCTGAAAGATAAATGATACATAACCTGATTGCACAAACTGCTTTAAGCAACACCTATTTATTGCAACATGGTTTACACCACAAGTTAAAATGTGTAATGAGAGCCAAGAGACTGGTAAAGAAAGAATAATATAATTACTGATAAGGCACTGTCTTTCTTTGGGTCATGTGGAAATATTAATAACAGGAAGGTTTTTTATGTTTTTAATCATCGGATGTCCCAAGCAGATTACAAAAGAGGAGAGGATAGTTATCACTGTTTTATTGGTGGGGACGTGCAGATAGAGAAGCAAGATAAATTTAAATGGAAGCAATTGCCCAGAGTGACTTAGCAGTCTAGAGCAGACCTGGGACTGCAGCCAGCATGTCATGAGACCTTTTCCAGCAGGTTACCCAATTGGTCATGCTTCCTCTCAGTATGTATCCCACAGTTCTACACTGCCTGTTATACCCAAATCTGACCTGTTACTGTGAACACACCACAAGTTCTTAGAGCTGGAGGCATTAGAAACAGCTGCAGTTGCCCAGTAGATAAAAGATATGTCCATTGTCTAAAAAGAACAGCAGATTTGCTCCAAATGGGTGGGCTGGGAAGGTTGAATAAGTGTAGAGAGAGGGAGTCCCACCATTCTTCACTGTATTGTCAGGGTCTCATTTCGTTACTACAGGTTCACAAGGTATCAACTTTTTTATGCTCTTAAGAGTGGATGCCCTGCACTGCTCCTTGCTAAAAAACCCCTCTTAGCAGTAACAGAGAGAATCCTAACCACTACCAAATACTCTACATACATCAGGCTAATGCACAAAAGCAAAGTTAGTTGCACCCAGCCTTCCTCTCCCTTGAAAACTCTGGCAACCCACAAGAGGCAACGCATCAACACCTGAGGCAGTGCCCAGCACATAGAGCAAACTGGTCTAGTGAAAGGTGTCCCTGCCCAAGGCACGTGGTTGGAATTAGATGAGTTTTAAAATCCCTTCCAACCCAGGCTATGCTATGGTTCTGTGATAGCTGTGCTCGCCCAGCCAGGAGGCTGCTTGCCCAGGTTGTGCCTGGGAGTGGTTCTGAGGAACCTGCTCCAAAGCCATGCCCATATATTATAAAAATTTAATGTCATACTTGTAGCTAACTGTGCAATCTTCTATTACATTACTGCCTTCCTCAGAAATCAGAGTTTTCTTCACTATCAAGGCTCAGAGTTTAAATCAGCAATATAAAAGTGCACTGGTATTTTTCTGTACTTTTTGATGGTGAAGGGATGTGATCACGTGTTGGGTGAGACAGTCAGCTCAATACATGAGCTGAGTTACAACTCTGTGGGGGCAGCAGACCAGATGGGGAAGATCCTTTGTACCCAGACCCTCCTGAACTCTTCTGTTCCCTTTCAAAAGCAAACAAAAAAGTTAGACTCTTGTCTAAATGCTCAAAAAGTTAAATAAGTATTTACACTTTAAATAGGTTCTCTTAAGATGTGGGCCTTTTTATTTTCCATCACAGAAACCTCTTGATTTGCAACCAGTAGTGGATATACCAGTAATGTGTTTGTTAAGTACCTCTGTGCACATTTTTCTTACCAGTTGTCTTTATTACAGTAGTTTCTTTGCATTTCCATAATGACCAGAGCTCCCACCTGCAGGAGGGAACAAATCATAGTAAATGCTATTGAATAAGGAGCTGTCAGAAAACTAATAGAAACACTATCTCCTTTTTGCAGCTTGCTGTATATACAGTGCTTTAAGGCTATGCTTTAAGATAATCATAGTAATTTGTTATTTACAATATATCTTTTCCAATACAGTTAGTCAGACTGATTGCTACATAAGCCTGACCTTGCCCACTGCTTCCCCTGAGACTGTCCGGACCAAAACTATCAAGAACTGCAAAGATCCGGTGTGGAATGAAACATTTTGTTTCAGGATCCAGAGCCAAGTAAAAGTAAGATGCAGAATGTATTTGTTTTTCTTTGCGGGCAGAGATGTCATTCAATGATGAATATATAGGTCAAATTAAAAATAAATACATGTGAGGGACTACACAGATATGGGTAAGGGAATTTGGAGTAGACTGCAGCAGCAAAATTCAATTTGGATTTTGGATATGTAAAAAAATAACCACAATATTTCACAACCACTCATACAATGCTCTACTACTTTTCATTTTTCTTCTTTTTTTTTTCCTTTATTTTTTAATCATTGCTTTTCAAGAATAAAGATGAAAATTTCAGAGTAGATTCAATAGTGTAAAAGACATATATGAGCCGTGTAGGGGAAGCATCACAGGACTGTTCTTTTTTAATATTCCTTTATAATGACCTGCAATAAAAAATTTACAAAACAAACAGTTTAAGTTTGCAAAAGAAAACTAGCTGAACTTTTATCATGAGGATAAATGTTAAAGCTTTAGAAGATTTGCAAGTCCTACTGTGTAGTCCCTCAGAAAGACAGCCTCAACATCAGGGTCTAGCAGTTCAGAAAGATCAGTGGGGTAAGCCAAGTAAACCAAGCTTACTTCAAATCTGGGCAAATACATTTCTGTTTTACAGCCTGCACTGTTCATTTCCCAGTGCTGGTGGTAGATCAGGACTCTCAAGTGCCAAATCAGCAGGCCAGTCCCCTGTCTCTCTCAAACATCGATAAACTCCTCCAAAAGATTATTCAGAATAGCTCAAAGTGTTGCTACACTCTGGTGAACAATTCCTCTTACCTACTGACTGCAGAAATTGCCCATGATAATGTTCTCAGGCTTTCACAGAAGTTGGATGGTATGGTCCTGTTTGGTATAGCTTTCAGCTTTAATATGTCTACTCCTCTGTGCACAGCCAGTGCTTTCCTTACTGACCTAAAAAAATTCCAGCTCCTTTCAAAATGCCAATGAGGCACAATTTCGCAGTGCCCTGCAAGTTTATCAGGAAGGTGAAAGGCAAGGGAAAAACATTGCAGCATGGGAACAAACACCCACTGATCTGTCACTGTTGCACCAGAACACCTGCTCATGCTGACAGGTTTTTCAAAACTGCATTACCACACAGAAGTGTTAGAAAAATATCTTGACCACAGGAAGCTGCGTGAACTAGTCCTTCAGGTAGTAGTATTTGGGAAAACCTTACGTTTACAGTAAGTTTGCAGCAGGAGACAAGGCATGTGACATTAGCCCTGGTAATTATCAGTGTGGCAACAGCAGCATGGTGGTAGTGGTGGCTGTGGCTTCAGTGTGTGCTGCACAAGATGTGTCCTGGGCATTTGGGATAGCCAGAGCACTCTGGCACATCTGTCACTGTTGTCTCACTGCTGTCTGGCCTCAGCAGAAGCAGAGTCTACTTGTCTGGTTATTTTCTCCTTCCCTGTTCTGTGTTTTGTTGAGGTATTCATCTTTCCAAATCACAGTAGCCAGAGCTCAGTAAAACTGTATAATATATTGTCACTGTGGAAGAGAAAAATCTGTTTGCCTGTGTTGTGCTGGTTCTCATCAGGAACAGTGGTGTTTACCAAAGGGCATCTGCTTTGATGAATGTCTGACAGTCAGCTAGAAAGGGCTTCTGAGGCTTGTGCTGTGTGCATGATGCTCTAGGAGGATAACCCTTCCCAGAGTTGGTGGCACACAGCCCTGCCAGCTGGCTCTGCCCAGACACCCCTGGCTGCTTCCCACACAGCATCCCAGTGGTGCAGATGGAGATTCCCCTTAGCCATCCAGCACGTTATGTGTGTCCCTCATGGCTAGCTGGGAGTACCTGAGGGACTCAAATCAGTTGGTCGTTAAGAAAATAAGTCAGTCATTTTAGTAATTTATGGACTGTCTATTGCAATATCACAGCTATGAAAATTTATCTGCTCTTGAGTGCAAGCCTGTCTTCTACTAACTGTAAACTATTGCTTTAAGGCATAACCCCTCCATCACCGTCCATAATCCTTTACAGGCTATTTATGGCTGGTCTGTAAACCAAGTTGCTGTGGCTGCTTCTCTCTGCCTCTTGTCAGTATTGTGTGGTGGGCAGGACTGACACTGTCAGTCACAAATAAAATTGTTTCTCCAGATGAGGCACAGTGTGATGCATTTACATATGTGGCCTTAGAGGTCAACAACCTTTCTGCCTTCTGACAGTAAACTGCAAACTCAAGGTCACTTGCCATCTCTCACTTGCTGGTTTCTCACAGAATGATAGAAGTCAAAATTGAATACTTGGATTCAGGATTGTTTTCCTTCAGTATATTTGTGTATTCAATCACTTATTTAGATTTAGGTGTGGACATTGCTGTGATACATTATGAACTTTTAAAGTAACAGAGTTCACATGCTCACTCTTTTTTATCCATGTGTTTGTGTATAAGACTATGTGTCTACCTTTGTGTCTTTAATAAGCATCAAACCTCTTAGCAAGTTTCAATTAAATCTGGTGCACAAATAAGAATCTGAGATAAGCGCTCCCTGTAATTTACATGAAAATGAACTGCTGAATATATTGAGGGAGGCCTGAACTATTGCCCCACTGAGAAACCAGCAGTTAATGTTCATTTGCTCAGCACTCTGGGAGGCACTTCTCAGCCAGCCCATGTCCAGGTACCAACTAGGCAGAGGTGTTATCCTCTCCTGTCCATCCAAAGAAGCAGATGACAGTGAAGGAGAGGAGGAAATTCATAACGTGGTATTTGCATAATTTAACAAAAACATATCAGTTTCTGTAGATTCCATGGTAATTATCTGCATGTAATCTGTTTAATAATTTACAGAATAAAATTATGCAACTATGCAGTAGTTATATGGTACATCCTTAACAAATCTTAATTGCTGCTTATATCCATGGATTTTTTTATTCCACCTGTAGCAATAAAGTCCTGGCTGCTGGCTGGTTTCCTATAATTCACGGAAAAGTGGTGACCTCAAACCAAATTAGAAGCCAAACATGTTTTTCAATATGGGAGCTCAATATTCAGTAGTTCTACTAGCCTTTGTCATTTGAATTACTCTGCAGGGCAAATCAACAACAAACCCAACTCTGTGTTAAGTTCAGGATATCATTCTTCGTCTCTGTGTGGATGTAAAGGTTGTGCATGATCTCTCACTTCTCCTCATCCTTTCTCTGTCTTCCCAAACATGCTGAGCACATCATCTTATGTCTCTGTAAGGTCTCAAATTAAGATTCTAATTCTGTGCCTCTGTTTGCAGAATATTCTTGAGATGAAAGTCTATGATGAAAATGCAGTCACTAAAGATGACCTCCTCTTCACTGTTCTCTTTGATATTGCTAAAATCCAGCTTGGAGAAACTGTTCGCTTGACTTTTCAGCTAAATCCAAAGGTGAGAGATAAAACTGCCTCGACCATAGGAAGGAAATATGTTTTTTGATATTACCTTCTAAATTCTTTTAAAGCAATTGTAAGTGGGAGGGTTTATTTCCTATTGGTTGCACTTCATATGTCCTGAAAGTACCTTCCGAACCTTACTCAGCAAAGTAGACAAAGTTTACCTCCCTACCTTGGACGTAATCTTGAAGGCTTTTACAAGCTCTTCAAGCGCCTTAAGCAGGTTTTTTCTGACATCAGAGTTCCCTTTCCCCCCCTCTTTCTTGACTGTTGCTCAAATAAGTTTCATTGGAAAGACAAAACTTCATCACTTTCAACAAAGTTCCTCTGTTAAAATTTCTATTCCTGGCACCAGCACTTGTGAGTTTGGTCATACTCTGGCACAGATGTATTCACTTAAACTGATACCTTGCCCTGTAATTCTATTTGTATATACCTAAATATAACACAGAGATCTGTACTGAGATGCTAAAATCTGTTGATGGCCAATTGCTCAAACTATCTCATTATTTCAGTTTGCCTGAACACATACATGATGACTTCAACACAGGATATGGGTATTCCATTTAGATATGACTACAGATTTGCTGTTTCAGTGACTTTTCTTATAGGGTATGTATGGGTATTCAGCTCGATAGTGATTTCAGAAAGCAGTCTACCTTAACTTGTCTGGTGACTGGTATTGTCCGTGTTACAGGATCAGAAGAATTGAGAATACCCTCTTATATACAACAGTATCAGTCTTCTGATAACATTACATAGAAAAAACTCAAGGCTTTATACATTTTTAAGCCAACAGTATTGCAGGTTTAGGAGTGCCTGCCATTTTATTCTACCTCACCACCAAATGGAAAAGAGCAGTTGGCCTGGGGACTGATGGTTAACACAGGAGAGAGAACACTTTTCACAATCACTGTAACTTGATTGCTTTCACTCATCTTAGTATACCCTAGAGCTGGAGGAAAATTTGATTTGATTGAAGAACTGTTTCAGGAGCCAGAATAATCACTGACAACCAGCAAGTGAGAAAGAAAATTAATTCAGTTGCTTATAATAAATTAATCTTTTACAGACACAAGAGACGCTGGAGGTTGAGTTTGTATCGGAGAGCATGTGAGTAAAATCCATATGGAACCAAAAAACTGTCCTTTGAAAGCAGTCAAACACATGCTGGCATTTAGTATAATATAGTTTAAAATGCTTAGTATCACAGTAACAGTTGGTATTGATCAAGTTAGTTGCATATTGGCTAAAACTTATTACAAGTATTGTTTGCCTTTATCATTAAAAAAATAAGGAATACACATTTCAGATGTCTCCCAAAATTAAGAATCAGTGATATGTTCGAGACTATGCTGGACAAGACAAACTTTAAGGAATGTATTATTCTTTGGTGTTCGTGTAAGGATGTATTTAGATCATATTAGTTCTGATTACATTCTATTTTCTCTTTCAGTCCAGTCCTTCCTGAAAAGCTTGTCACTAACGGTGTATTAGTGGTAATTTTAAACTATTGCTTTTCTATCTTTGTTTTCATGATAGTGATGGGATGTGGTGAATCTGGCAGGTGTCCCAACATCTCACTGCAGGCAAGGCTGAAGGGGAGGGAAATGGGGGTCAGACAGGCAGCCATCCTGTTGTGCTGCTCCCTGTGGGAGGATGTATTAGGAAAGAATGTACACAGTCATTTGGGATACTCAGAGACCTGATCACCACCAGCAGCTGATATCAAGCCTCTTAACAAAGCCTGAAGTGCTCTTTCAGTGACTTACTGCCTCTGTGTTATTCCTTCTGGGGAATTCCTTTATGACTCCCTCATGGCCATCCTGTTTACCCCTCTTCCATAGGATGATATGGAAGTTGCTTCCTCAGCTGCCCCTAACTTACTATTTAAAGGATATAGTGCTTGGCTGTCCATGCTTGCCTGTCCAGCAGGACTTCAAGGACAGCCCTGTGATTTGGCCACCCATCAGTTTACCCTTCGGAGGCCTCAGGACACTTCTATTCCCTCTATTGTTATTTCTCCTCTCTTCCCATTCTTGGGATGGTGCTTGGATGAACAAAGCACCACAACTTTTGTTCAGCTGAAACCTGATGCGTTTTCAGAGTGCCAAAGTCTTTCTCTTATCAGCCTGATAAACACAAGGTGAACAGTTTTCCAGACTCCAGGGACCTGGGTACCTGGAGACAGGTAGCAGTGAAGTGAATCAGAGATGGCATGTTTTATGTACTTAATTATCTCACTGTTCATCCCTGCTACAGTCGCGTGAAATTTCCTGCTTGGAAGTCCTGGTGGACAATAGATGGACAAAGAAAGAACCTTCAGGTTAGGCTTCAAACCAGAAACAAAAAAAACCTGAAAAATTCTCTCTCTCTTTTTTTTTTTTTTTTTTTTGGGTGTGTGTGTTATTTTTTAATCCAGTAATTTTCCTACTTTGTTCTTACAATGGAGCACAGGAACTGGATAATTAGGAGTCTATAGACAGGTTCACATATACAGAGTGTCTGTGCTAACTAATTATAAAAACTGGACTTTAAAATTAAAGGGAATGATTAGAGAGACAAGGGATCTTATAGGTGCTGTAAAATAGCCGTAGATATATATTTCTGTCTCAAGTTACATTTTGTCCAACTGCCTGTATGTCTGAATTTTTAACAGTTACTGCTCTTCTATAAACTCTTTCATGTTTTATGGTTTGTTTTTGTTTGTTTTCTTCTCCTCCTTCTTCTTGCAATGTTCCCTTGTTTGATAAATAGTTTGGAGGCTTTTAAGCATTGTTGAAGGGCATATATATATAAAAATGACAACTTTGGAATGACCATTTAATGTTCTGTTTCTGGAATCATAATCATTAATTTCTCTGTATATTTTTCATGATTTCTTTTTTTTAGAAAAAGACTTCTTGTTCTCAGTGAAGGGATCCTATGAAGAGAGCCAGACACTCTCTCTGGGCTCTTTCTGGCAACCCGTGAAGCCCCTGAACTTTCATTACATCAAGTACAGCCTGTCCGAGCTGCGCATGGCTCTTGCAGAGAAGAAGCCTCATTTCTACTCGGTATGTGATCTTAGCTTGAGTAAGCACAGTAAATTCATGGTTTTCTACACTCAACTGAGGCAAATGGAAAGATGTATTTTTAATTAAGAGCCATCTTCTATGAACTTCAGCTTTGGAAGAGCACTGTAACACCTAAGACATCTAAATATTAGATACGAACTTGAAAACTGAATGGTGACCTCATATGAAAAAAGTAAGTTGGAGACAGTGCTTTTCTTTATGGTGTATACATTAAATATATTTCTACATTATGATTTATTTTTCAGTGTACTTCAGGTGAAGAGAAAAAAGACTACCATGCATCCCTCACTATTCCTCTGGATTCACTTCCATTCAATGAGAAAGTGGCAGTAGCAAAGGTGATTGATACCCACTTCTTAGAATAAATGTGAAGCTATGGACCAAAGATTAATAGGCATGAGTTAATTAGATCAGTGTGAAGTAGGGGTCTAGGTACATAGCTACAAGTGCCCTTAGATTCCTAACAGAGAGGGTTATGGACCTGTACATTTTCATATGAACCAAGTAGAACCAGAAATCCCAGCCAAATGTTTGACAGAGGGATTTCTGTGACTAGCTAGGGGACTAATGCAGGTCAGAGTAAGTGCAAGTGATGAGGCAGAAGGGAACACACTGGCAGAGCTGGTGTTGGTTTTTACTGTATATTGCTCTTTTAGCTTCAGTATAAAACGATATAAATAAAATGGAGTGGATTTGGAGGAGCTTTAAAAATTAGATAGATTTTCTGATTGTTATGGCTTTATGGTTCAACAGGGGTTTTAGAAAAAGGAAAGGGCTTCGGAGCTGACTGAAATGAAAGAACATAAAATAACGTCCAGTCCTTATATTGTGGTTTTGCTTTTTTCCTAGGATGAGACAATCAATTTACATGTAAAATCAAATGACTGGTGAGAAATTTTGCCTTTGGGTTTTGTGGTTGTGAAAAAAAGGTATTGTACAGGTTTTTTTCCTTATTACCCTTTTCTCTAACTAAGGGAGAAAGCATTTAGTCAAGGATTATTTTTACCTCCTTACCTCAAGTTCGTTACCCATGTCCAGAAGGTGGACATGCGCTGGGTGAATTTTCCTGTTATGCTACTACATAGAAGTTCAGTTTGGATGGGGAGAATAATGTTTTCTGGCTGCCAAATCTGTAGAGCTATGACTGTAGAAAAATATGTTTATACTTCACTTTCCTTACTTATAAAGATTCCAGAGTATTTGTATTTATAAAACCTGGAGGTCCTGAGGCAACAAATTCTAAATATTCCACTGTTTACTGTATCCATACATGAATTACAGTATTTATGTTAGATACCTCTTGAAAATCAGCATAAGAATATTTTTGTTGCTTTCTGTAATGTTTTGCTACTTTTTACACTTTCTCAGCCTTTTCTCTACCTTATTTATATTATCTGTGATATGCTTTTGTTGGGCCACACTAGCAGCTTTTCTAAGCAGTCATGACTTGTAAGCATGGGTACAGACATTAATTTTTAGTGATCATGCCCACCCTATTCAACTCTGGACTTTGTTTGAGGTCACGAAACTTAGATGTCCGCTTGGAGTTTGATCTGTGTAAGGAGGAGAAAAATTTCCTGCAGAAAAGGAAGAAGTTTGTGGCTTCTGCTCTGAAAAAAGCACTTCATTTAGAGCAAGACCTTCAAGATCATGAGGTAGGGGGAGGACCATAGGGACTGTAACATGCTGTGTAGCAGGAATACGTTATGCTTGTAGCCATTCACATATTATTCCTTAACTAGCCCTGATACATTCACTGCCCCACATAAAATGTTGAGAAATGTTTAGATGAAAGGTGAGAGGCAGGGTACATATTTATCAAGAAAACAGAATGCCTTAAATCAGCCTTTTTTGCCTTTTTTTTTTATTTATTTATTTTTCATTTGTGAATTATAGACTTGAATAGTCCTACTCTTTTAGCTGATCATTCAGTCACCAAGGCCCCATAAGGTATTTTATATTATCGGATTTTTGGAGGGAGAAAATCTAACAGTTAAAGTGATGCATAACACTGACTCATGAGGTTTCTTATCACAGACTCTCTCCTCTGGTGATCATCATCTCAGCTGTAGTTCCTCAAACAACACAAAGACACTGAACGTTTTTGTCTGATCTGCTTGTCTGAGTCAGTGTTCATATTAGTTCAGCCCATGGTGGCATGGGGATGGTTGGAACTTCAGGGCAGGAACACGGTCTGTGATCAGGAACTTCAGAAATAAAGAAGTTTTTATTTTGAGAGTGGGTTTTTTTATCTGTGCTTTTCCATTTGTCCAGGACAGGTGGACCAAAGGCGTGTTAGGCAATATATGACAGCATTGCTTTGGAAACACATAGATGCTGCCTCTGCTCACAAACTGATCGTATTGTTTCTCATTGGCACACTAGTTTTAGTAAAAAAAAAACCAGTTTCTTAGGTATGCAATTTTTTTAGGGAGAAGTACTTCTAACTACTAATTTCAGATTTTCCAGCAACAGAATATTTCCTTATGGTCAGATAAACCCAAATCAAAGTACTTTGCTTTGAACTGAAATGTTCGATTTGAATCAGGAAACAGCTGAGTATTTCTTTGATGCAATTGCCTGGAAATGTGTGTAGGAAATGTCAATTGGCTTGTCTTCTCTCAGTGGGTTCCTTGGATGGAATTTATCTTCCTGTAACACAATCGAGATTTCTATGCAATTAGACTTCATCACTGCAATTATATGCTCTAGGTACTTTGTAGAAAATGTAATCTAGCCATTATATTTGACTTACAAGAGAGGATGAGCTCTGCTTCTTTTCAAAATACAGCTCTCATGTGATGATATTTTGGTAAGGAAAATTCAGTCTAATATTCAAATGCTTTGAAACCATAAGTTTTGAGCAGTTTTGGTAAGCCAGAATGCAACAATTTAGAATTAAAAATGATTGATTTTAATGAAAATCCTCAAAATCTGCTATTTACCTTTTTTTTTTTTTTTTTTTTTCCCTGTGCAAACTACCCAGTTTTCATCTTTTTACCTCTGACTTGGGGAAATGGTGAAATGTCGGAATTTCTTGTGGGACTGAAAGGCTACAATTGACTCAGCTCTGACCACATGTGCTGGTAAAAAAGGTGCTGCTTACCACTGCTGTGTTGATGTTTAAACAGATACCTGTTGTAGCAGTTATGACAACAGGAGGTGGCACCCGGGCACTGACATCTCTGCTAGGCAACCTGCTGGGTCTTCAAAAGCTGGGTCTCTTGGATGCTATTTCATACATCACTGGGTCATCTGGTTCAACATGGTAAGGAGATCCTGAACACAGGCATCCTTCATCACTTCTATAGCCTGCTGTGTGAGTTATCTATCCTCTTCATTTTGGTGAAGAAGGATGTACTGGTTCAGTCTCAAGCGTTTTTCATTGCTGCATTAGGAGCACATTGGCTGAGCCAGTGTAGACACTTCTTCCAGGGAACAACATTTTCCTTGACTTTTTATTTCAGCTCTAGGATCTTTCCTGCTGAGTCACTGTGGTGCATATCACAGCCTTATGCATAAACCTTAATAGCAAGGAGGGGCTTTTTGCAAGCCCTCAGATTTCACTAGTGATTTGGGAGAGTTCGTCTAACTCAAAAAATCTTTTCAATAATAAACGAGCCCAAGATGTTTGTAATGAACTTCAGCTGGTTCATTTGATGTGGACCTTAAATCTAAGTCTAAAAAGTGGGAGGGCCTCAAGCATATGACAATGTACTTCCTTTCTTTTTCTGCAGGACTTTGTCACATTTGTATCAGAACCCTGAGTGGTCACATAAGGATCTATCCAGACCGATTGGTGAAGTCCGCAGACATATGACCAAATGCAAGCTAAGCTGCTTTTCCCTGGAAAGCTTGAAATACTATGCCAAGGAGCTAAAGCTGCGGAAGCAAGAGGGTTACCAGATCTCTAGCGTTGATTTCTGGGGGCTTCTGCTGGAAAAAGCATTAAGTGATGGGGTAGTATTTTCCCTAACAGCTACTGAATACTGTTGTATAGAATATGAAGCTCCAGGGGCAGATGCTAGCCTGAGAGCATGCCAGCATCTTCCAGCAGATGATTTCTGCTGAATAATGAGGGATTTTAGAACTGTTGAGGTTGGAAAAGACCTCTGAGATCATCAAGTCCAACCCTTATCACTGCCATGTTCACTGCTAAACCATGTCCCCAGGTGGGACATCTACATATGTTTTGAACACTTTCACAGATGGTGATTCCACCTCTTCCCTGGGGAACCTGTTCCAGCCTTCCAGTGAAGAAATCTTTCCTAGTATCCAGTCTAAACCTCTCTCAGCACAACTTGAGTCCATTTCCTCCTGTCTTATGACTTGTTACTTGGAAGAAGAAATCAATCTCTAGTTGTCTACAATCTCGTTTCAGGCAGTTGTAGAAAGTGATAAGGTCTCCTCTGAGTCTCCTTTTCTACAGGCTAAACAACCCCCAGCTCCCTCAGCCACTCCCCGTAAGACTTTTTATCTAAACCCTTCACCATCTCCATTGCCCGTCTCCGACCACGCTCCAGCACCTCAGTGTCTTTCTTGTAGTGGGAGACCCAAAACTGAATGCAGTACTCAAGGTGCAGCCTCACAAGTACTGAGTACAGGGGGTCCTGCTGGCCACACTATTTCTGCTACAGGTCAGGATGCCATTGGCCTTCTTGGCCACCTGGGCACACTGCTGGCTTGTGTTCAGTCAGCTGTCAAACAGCACCCCCAGGTTCTTTTCTGCTGAGTAGCTTTCCAGCCACTCTTCCCCTGGCCTTTAGGGCTGCGTGGGGTTGCTGTGACCCAGTTGCAGGACCTGGCCCTTCACCTTATTGAACCTCATACCGCTGGCCTTGGCCCATTGATCCAGCCTGTCCAGATCCACTCTAGAGCCTTCCTACTCTTCAGCAGATCAACACTCCCAATCAACTTAGTGTCGTCTGTAAACTTGCTGAGAGATTTTTTTCCACATTTCTCTTGATGCATAATTAGCTGTTCAAGGGTTATTTTGTAGGGCAGAAAACCTGTGTCTCTTTCTACAAGTGTGAGTGTCTGAGCACCTACCTGCAGAGTCCTTACTTGGTTTCTTTTCTTCTGTTCCTCCTTGTGAGAACTTAAATATCTATGTGAAGTGGATGTATTTACTGGGAAGAGCAGAAGATTGTTTTTTCAAAAAATGTTCTACAGCTCTACCTGTAATTAAATAAGCTGATGTGGATTGTAAATGTTTGTATCATGCCTTGGTTAAAAAATGTTTGGATGCAAAATGAGTATAGAGAATAAGGAAATTAAGAGGGAAACAGATATTCATTTTGCTGCAATCTTGCAAGCCCATAGACCATGACCAGAAGGTCCCTTGATTTTGCCCTTTGTCTCTCATCAATTCACAGAAAAATAACCACAAACTCTCAGATGAGCAACAGGCATTGAATCAGGGTCAAAATCCCCTACCTATCTACATGATCCTCAACATCAAAGAAGACTACAGCCTTTCAGAGTTCAAAGGTGATGGCAAACCTGGGCTCACTTGGTGTTTAAATGTTCTGCATTATTAGTTACTACATGTGCTGCAACCTCTTGTACTGCTGAACCATAGCTTTTATAAACAGTTTCTTTTCCTCCTTAACTTCTTTTTCCATTTCTAAACTTTGTGTCTAGGCTGTGGGAGAAATTCATCTTCTAGAGGGCAGGAGAAATCTTGGGGAGGTGTTTAAAGACAGCCAAGGTACTTACAAATCTTAGCTCCACATGTGGGGTAACAGGGTGACCCCTTTTGATATAAAATTCACTTATGTTCTTTGTGGAGATGGTCATTAGAAAGTTCTGAATGAATGAGATTGGGAAAGATTACTGAGTGAGCAGTTGAAACCAGCTGAATTATACCTCCTTATCCTGAGGAAGGCCAGGCTGTGGTTGCCCTGATGATAGGTTTGTCCTGCAGGTGCTTTTTTTACCATTTCAGAGCCCTTCCTGCAGGGGAGTAGGAATAGGAATGAGATTTTAAAGTTTGTTTTGTGTCTCTGCAGAATGGGTGGAGTTCACCCCTTATGAGGTTGGATTCTTAAAATATGGTGCCTTCATCCGTGCAGAGGATTTTGGCAGTGAGTTCTTCATGGGTCGCCTTATGAAGAAGCTCCCAGAATCACGGATCTGTTTCATGAAAGGTGATGTACTCCATTGCAAAAATTTGCATTGCATAAAAATGTACTTTATATTTAAAATAAGGCAAACCCTGCATATTGCAACCAGTGCCTGGCATCATGCAGGACTGAAAACAGTTGTACATCGTGTCGTTCTCACCTCTGACTGAATTCCTTAGACACCGGAGATGAGCTAAAAAATACTTAGAGGAAATTTCAAATCACATTGTTCGCTGTTGCTTTTGTCTTGAATAGTGACTTTCATGCTCTGAAGTTTCAGGGCTGCTTGAAAAGGTAAGGCTCGTTTTGAACCAGTCAGCAGCAGAGTTCCACAAAAAACCTGAGTATTTCGAAACTGTAATCTTAAAATCAAATTTGGCTATGAATGGCATGATATTGTAACAAAAAGCAATGTTGTTACTGAGTTTATGATAAAATATGGCAATTTTTAGTAGTTTTCTGAACTGCTACCAATATTTTTTCAAGTTTAATAGTAGTCTAAATCCTTTGTAATTTTGTTACTTATGATATATCACTGAGTTTTATCATTCTTATTTCAGCAAAGTTGGTAGCATCCAGCAATTTATGAAAAACAGCTTTGCAGCTTTTATGGAATTCTTCTTTTAATTTTGCATAATACTGGAAATTTGTACTACATCCCTTTGTATGTTCGTTCTCTGGGATGAAGAGTTCTGCAGCCAAGTCCACCAATTCTTAAACCCTTAACAACAGATATTTTACATGTAAATAAGCACATCACACAACAGAACAGCAAAGACAGGGGCAAGAAATGGTTTACTTATAAAGGGAAAAATCCACACAGACAGCAACACCATGCATATTGGTGTTCATGCATTGCAGTTTCTCAATAACAGTGGGGTAGTGTGTCCATACCTGAGGTGTCTGGGTAGCAACCACACCCAACACATCCAGCCTGGGCAGAGCTCTCTTCTCTTCGCTCTCAGCACCTGAGGCAGGTGACCCCACAGCCACAGGTGTATCTTCATAAAGGATAAGGTAGAGAGTTAAAGTAATGTTGCCATCTAGTGATATCACATGCAATGCCCTCTTGGGTTACAATTAAAAGGTACTATTAGTAATAGCATGATTGTTTAAGGATAAAAGCAAGGTGTCATTTGCGGGGAGAGGAACAACCTTTTATAAGAGCAGTGGCTAGAGCTGGAAAGACTGGATGAGCTTATGGGGATATAAGATCCTCAGGTTTCCAGAAGAATGCCTGGGGTTTATGAAAGCTTGTCCGCTCTTTTCATCTCTGTCAGCCTAGTAAAAGTTACTGTGTCTCTCCATAGTACTTACTTCAGCAAATATAGGTACCAAGAAAATTCAGTACAAGAGGGCAACATTGCTATGTAATTATAACCAAGTTCTGGGGACACAACAATATTTGAAAGGCATTAAAATGCAGAAACAGTGTCCCAGGGCTGAGGGAGCTGGAAGAGTTATGGAGTGAAAAGACAGCAAGAGAAGACAGGAGAAACCAGAGGAGTTGCCTTCTCACAGCAGGGCTGAACAGAAGCTTCTCAAGCTGCAGAGAGAGGAGGTTGTCTTGACAGAAACTAGCCAGTAATTATGTGCAAATGAACTCTGGTTGCCATCTAAGTGTAGAGCCAGAGAGCCCCAATGTGATTTCTTAATTATGAATTTTTAACATTTCTTAAGTCAGTCCTATTCTTACAAGAACTTCCTATGAAGCAGATCCTTGGCTTCCTGTCCCACTTCATGAGCAAACCAGGTTTAAAAGAAAACTGTTTATCTGTTGCTAATTCATGGAATGAAAAATTGTTGTACTGTGCAACTCAAATTATTGCATCCTTTGCAATGTATGGCTTTCACAGAACTTTCACTGCTGGAGATTTTCAAGGCAAAGCATAGCACTGCCTTCTTCCTCTCAAGGCCTGTGGCACAGTTGTGGAGGAAGAGATACTTTCCAAGATCCAGGAGACTTCTTGAGATTTCTGCACTTCAGAGATATTTTTAGATGTTCTTTTAAGTGGGAGGGAAAAAGTGGAAGAAGGACTATGCAGGTGAGAAAAATGAGGAGAGGAAGAGAAGTCTTATTGACAAGACCTCATGCAAAGAGAAATCTTACAAGGGGCAGTGAAGATGTCTTGTATTAAAGGACTATTCTGCAGACAATCCCAAACTGTGCTCTAACCATTTGACTCTTAGCTGTTCAGGAGTAGCTTCCAAACTTTAACTGAAAATCCACTTGTACATGACATAGTTTGTAGACCAGACAGCTGTTTATAGTATGGAAAATGTTGGTTTGTATGTGACAATGAATTATAGTGGCTAAAGGACTTGCACAGTGTTTTAAACTATTTAGGTTCCTCTTTGAGGACAGAATACTAGTTGCTAAAAAGAACTTCACACAAGTTTTGGTGTTAATTTGAAAACCTTGAGTCTTTCCAATACCCCTTGCAAAGCTGAGAGGTTATTTTTTTTTTTAGTGATATTTCCCATTGAAACGTTTCTGAAGAAGTTTCCCTGTTCTCTACCACTGTACAGGCCTATGGAGCAATGTCTTTTCCTACAATCTCTTGGATGCCTGGCATTCATCAAATCCTACAGAAAGGCGCTCACTGAGATGTACCCAACACAGGGCTGTTGATGTTGGTTAGTTAAATTTCTGTTTTATCTCATAAGATTTCATGTTGCCAGTTATATTGAACTAGGTTTCCCCTCTGAATTCTTTCATAGCAATATTATTTCCATTAGTTTCCCTTGGACTGAATTGATGCAAATATGAAACTATTCAAGCTTATAAACAGTCTTTGCCAGGGGCCCTTCAGTGAACTTTCATGTGCTAACAAACATGTCAGTGCTGTGTTCTCTCTTTGCCTCAGCAGATGGTGCTTTCCTTATGTTGTTGTTGAAGACTTAGATAAAGCAATTATGTGGAGCTCCATTCCAGTTTTCTTTGATCTTGTTGTAAACCTGTGTTTTTCTTAGAGGTGTTGACTGTCCTTCTTTTGTTCAAATGTGGTTAGTGAGTTTGGTTTATGGGCTTTTCATCACTTTCTCCCATGGAAGTGTGGCAGAATCCCAAGCTAATAAAAGCCTGTGATAGAAAGTCATTGGCCCCTTTCCCAATCTGATAAGGTGCCATTTAGCACAACCCTTTTTCTATGCTCTTTCCTGGATATCTAAGTCTCCTGAAAGCTTTTTTTTTTTTTTTTTTTTTTTGCAAAGCCAGTTTGTATCAATTTTTAAAGAATTGGGTCCAGATTCTCAGCCTACCCTGAGCTTCACACAGGGAATCAGCCTATGGGTTCTATCAAACAGGAGATCACTTTTTCCAGCTTGAGCAAGTTTGTTGCCATTTTGACTCTGTTTTTCATGGAATATGCTTTATTGAAGATTGATTTCTTTCTTGTTCCTACTTTGACACTTATTTAATTGTATGTTGCCATGTCTTATTAGGATCTTCTTTTCTCTAGCAAGTATTAGATGCCTTCTGGTATTTTAAGTATTGCAAAGAACTGTATCTAAACAACAATTTGTTCATCTTCTCTCCCCTTCAGAAGATGAGCCCTCTTCACCAGATGGGAGCCATGAGTTGGAGACTTACTTAGTGACCCCTGAATGTGGTATCATGGGCATTATTCGGCGGCTGCTGACAGAGCGGGTGATTTTTTCGAAGTTCTACAACTTCCTGAAAGGGTTTCAACTACACAATGCATATCTTCAAAGCAAAAACTTCTGTATGTGGAAAGGTAAACACCCTTGAATATTATTTGTTACCTTCTTATATGGTTTTTTTCATCAGTGAAGAGAACGCAAAGAATGAACATTTGAAAACAAATATTTCAAGATAACTATTTAAATTTCATCCAGCCAAATCAGCTTTAGGAATTCCCTTGATTCCAGGGAAAAGGAATTACTGCTCTTCAGAGAGAATTGAAAGAGCTCTGTCTTTTTACCTTGAACAGGTCTCTCTTTTCTGTGTCAAGTCTGAGCTTCCAGGATCTTGGAAAGAAAATGTAATGGAGATTAAAGAGTAATTTTTTCCTCCCTTAATTGTCAAAAACAGATATATTACTTCTTCAGTGATTCACTCATTGTAAAAAAAATTTCCTTTTAGATACTGTACTAGAACATTTCCCCAGCCAGCTGACACAAACAGCAGAGTTCATGTGCCTGGCAGACACAGCAGGATACATCGATATTAGCTATCCACCACTCATGAGGCCGGAGAGGAAAGTGGATGTTGTCCTGCACTTAAACTATTCTTCTGGATCACAGACACTGGTGCGATGACCACTCTATTTTCTTTGATAATAACTACTGCCTTTTAGTCCTCTTAGCCCTCCTTAAGTCCTGACAATTCAGAATAATTTATGTAGAATAAACTTACGGGAGAGAAGGATTCTTGGTCTGCAGATTCCATTGTGCAGATGCCTAGGTCTCTCAAGTGGTGCTGGTAAAATGTGGCAAATCTCCTAAAGAGAACATTAGTAGTATCAGTTTTTTCTAAATATTTCATTTGAATTAACCCTCTAACAGCTAAATGCTATCTCCTAGACATGTGTGCTCCTGTGATCTTGATATGGCTGTCAAGACAACACTTCTCATGGAGTGCTTATCTGGTACTGCGACCACCACTGATGAACTCATTTTGGTTGTCTTGTGATATCCATCTAAAGTTACCCACATGCAGTATAATTAGAAGTAATTTGTCCAGTTGCCATTAGAACAGTAACTGATTTTTTTGTTGTTGTTTCAAACTGTGGAAAAGAATTGTCCTTTGACAGCATATCTGCTTTTTCAAATACCAACTAATAATCTGGTATATAATTCCTGTTACTAGATATGGATAAGACAGGAGTTCTTGAAGATGAAAATTTTCATAAGTACCAACCAGACTCAGAAAAAAAAAATCCTATTTTCAAAAATTACTGCAAGATTGACATTTCAGTTTAGACGGTGTTTGCTCCCAAATCACTCTTTGCTTACATCACTTTTCAGAAACATCCTAAGGTATCTAAAACGGTTAGAGACTTTTAAATATTTCATACTGAGTCAAAAAGTGTTTGTACTTATCTGAATCTACGTTTAAAAACCGTACTATTTCAGATTCCTGTCCATTCTTCTCATTTCAGGATTTTCTCCAGGAGAGGTGTGTTTCTGTATCCTAAGCTTCTAAGCCACCCTTCTTACAGCCTTGAACATCTTACCTGTCTTGTAGGTTAAGGCTGTTGAGGAGGGTGAGGTAGAACAACCATCAGGAGTGCAAGTTGGAGGCTGAGCCCTGAACTGTTGTTCTGTTAATAACTAGTACTTAATATCTCATGTAAGAGACAAGGACAGCAGAAATATTGACAGCAAACCCTGCTTCCATATCTGTGTGAAGGTCTTTTGATGGATGCATTGTACATTAGGAAAAGTGGTGGGGTGCAGCAGAATTTCTGACCTTTTATTTTTTCTATCTGAATTCAGCCTTTGGAAGAAGCCTCCAAGTACTTCCAAAAACAGGGAATCCCATTTCCCAAAATCCACATGAGTGAAGAAGAAAAGAAAAATCTAAAGGAGTGCTACATCTTTGAAGACACAGAGACCCCAGAGGCACCGACAGTGGTGTTTTTCCCACTGGTGAATGACTCCTTCAGAAAATACAAAGAACCAGGTAAGCAATGGGACAGAGATGGTCCTCCCACCACCTGCCTGCTCGTTGCCTGTGTTGGGATGGGAGACATGGTCTAGTGTGGTCTCCTCCCTCCCCTGCTGTGCTTCCCATGTGCAAGAAATGCAATTGTCAAGGTAGTGAGGAGTAACTTGTGCCCCGGCTAGAAAGTGGGAGGTGGGACCAAATCTCTACCTCATTGACAACCTTCCTTTGTTTGTCAGGTGTGGAGCGCAGCCCTGCTGAGATGGAGCAGGGCAACGTGGATGTTTCCACCATTTTTTCCCCGTACTGCTTAAACAGCTTTACCTACAAAGGGGAGGATTTTGACAAGCTGATAGAACTGACCAGCTACAACATTCAGAACAACCAACACCTGATCCTTCAGGCTTTGAATTCAGCCATAGAGCAGAAACGACAGCGCAAAAAATAAACACTCTCCTGAGTTTCACAAAAACACCTGAATGATTTTTTTTTCTTCCTGCAAAAGAATCAAGACCTGCCTGTGAATGAGCACAATAAACTTTGGAAACTACAGACTTGTCTCAGCCTGTGGTTTCTCTCTACCACATGGCAATCCTAGTTAAACCAATCAAACAAGATAATGATTAGGCTTGTGCTTTACTTATGTTGGCTTTCACTGCTGGTGAGCTTTTTTTTTTTTCATGCAGTGTATGCATGTAAGTTAAAGATTAGGAAATATGGGGTTCATTAGCAAGTTTTTTAAATGCATGAATCTGGGACAGCAGTGCAAATTCTTTCAAAATTCAGTACATTACCAGAAGTTATATGCGAAGGGAAGACAAATTAGCTAAATTAGCTAAAATTAGCTATTTATATATTTAATTTATTATGAATCTAGTGCAACAGAAAAATACAAAATAAATTTAGACAATTTCAAAGAACATAAAAACTATATTTTCCATACTGTCAGTAAGAAATTTTGTTAGAAATAATGTGCAAAGATAAACATAAAAGATAATCTGAGATGTCACATGGAAAACACACATTTTCTATACTTCTGAATGTAAAAGATTTATTACACCAGTATTTAGTTTTTGAAAATCTCTTGGAAATTCAAACCATACCGTGAGTCAGGATCAGCTCTTCTAGTGCAGGCGTAAGTGCTAAATCCAAGGTTCTGCTTTTCACTGAATTGTCATGGTATTTAGAGGATCCAGCCCAGTATCCGTATCCAATTAATCAATAGTTTATGTAGTATTTCTTGTTATTATGGGATGGGATTTCTTGTTATTATGGGATGTGAGAATTAAAACATCAAAAAGTGAGAGACAGATTTTGTGGTCAGAAGGCAAGCTAAGTTCTTCACACTGATATCCATGGGTAATTCATGGGTAATGACGTTGTCAATCCCAGAATGTCTACAAGCAACACAGGATCTATGCAACTACTGTGAATAGCACAAGGTAATTTTTTGAAACTGCTTATTTTTGAGATGAAAACTAAAATAATTATTTCCTTTATGAAGGATTTCAGTAAGAAAAATACTATGTAAACCTGTTTAATTACAACAAAGATACTAATCTAAAAAAAGGATTTAATGCTTCAGTCAGCCCTTAATTACTTCAAATTTAAATGAAATGCAGCAACTTGTCTGTGCTGAAGTAACATGTAATGGTAAACACAGAGCTATGAATATCTTGTATTTTAACCAAAACAGAAAGTAAATTTTTAATTTGAAAAGGCTGAAAATTTCTCTTCCTTCTTGCTATCCTAATCTGTCTCTCTTCCTTCAAGCATTCCTTTATGCCATGTATTCCTCTAGCCTTTGTTGACTTTAGTCTCCCATGTTCACCTCTGATGAACTCAGACCCTTGGGTGTGCTGTGTCCTTAACCCAGCTGATTTTCCAGGCCCTCACACCTTTGTCCAATTTGCAGCCCTGGTTCAAACCTCTCATGTGCTGAAATGGCTGTTTACTTGCTGGTGCTCATCAAGGGCTCCCCTCTTTGTGATCTCTGTTGCTGAGTCATCTGGTGCCTCTGGGCATTGCCTCTCCTCTGTCCCAGCTCTAGCTCCCTCCCAGGCTTCCCTGATTATCATTATGACAAACCCATTTGGTGTGACACATGCATTTGCTACTTCTCCCAGCACCCCATCTTGTAGCTGAGGTTTCAGGCATCATAAAGATCTGCAAATGAAGTTCCTACCCTGGACATCCAAGTCCTTTGATGACACCAAATTTCAAGAATCCTGCCTCTCTCTTCCCATCTCTGCCTTTAACTATATCCTTTTGCTTCTCTTCATGTCTTCTTCTGTTAAACCAGCAACAGCTAGTTTAACAGAGGCAGGCCCCATTTATTCCCAGTGGGCTGCTGCTGCACCTGCCAGTGGCTGAGTGTGTCCCACCTCCCAGCAGTTTGACCAGACCCACATGATAGCTCCTAGAGATGTTCTCACTGTGGGAAAAGCTCTTAGACATGACTGGATCTTCTTGTCAGTTCTCCCCTTGCAATCCTGAAACATCCATGCCTTTCTTCTTTCAGATAAACCTACAGTCCCCTGAGTCACAAGCAAAGCCCTTGCTTGTTACCCTGAAAATACCTACATGTCCTGCATTACTACAGATCCTTAAAAAGGTCTGGCTTAAGCCTGCATCCAGACAACCTTTTTGTGGGGCACCGGCTGCCTTCACCCAGAGATATGTAGCAACCCCTTGAGCAGAGGGGAAAGACACCAGCCCTGTCATGTCATCTGCAGTTGTTTTCTTCTTCTCTGAGATGTAGAAGTGTCTCCAGGTGATTGCTCCTCAGTGGTGGCCTGTTCTCCTGACTACCATCTATCAGCACTCCCGGTCACTGTTTAGTAGAGGTGCTTTGTTTGTGACTTAGGGGGTTGGTTAATTTGGTATGCTCAGCTTGCTTTTTATCATTGCCTTTAATTATTAATTGCACAGAACGCTTAGAGAAGATCCTTGTAGTCCGTTCTTTCAGGCCAGCATGGAAGTTTTGTGTGGCTTTGTCTGATGGCATTTTTCGTTCTGGTTCAGCTGCTAATGGGGTATGCTTCCTGTGCTGTGCCTCTGGGTTGTACTGAGGCATTGAAAGAATGTAGGTAACAGCTGTAAATGTGGGCATTTAAAAGCCCTTTTTGGCTTTGCAGGTTGGGAGTGTCCCCTTTTACAGGAAAAAGGAGTGTCTTCATGGAATTATCCCTTCAGGAGAGGAAATACGATAGGGGGGAGAGAAGCACTGCAAAAATCTAAGACCATGCTGTATCATGGTGTTAGTATCAGCAGAAGTTTACATGATTTTTCCTAAATGTTTTAGAAGATAAAACTCTTGGCAGATGTGGTAATAGGAACTACAAACTACAAACACGCTGACCTCCTTACTTGTAATTAATATGTTTTGCATCTTTTCTGTGTCTGGCTTTTCCTTCTTACCTATTCATTATCTACAAGTAAGTGAAGGGATTAGCATGCAATTGCACCTTTGCCCCAGCCCTTCCGATTATCACTAAGGTGCATGAAGAACTGGGCAGCTCAGTGGGGTGACTCAGACCAGAGGAACCTAAGGAAAGCAGCGGTGGGATTCTTTAACCTCTCACAAGGCATGTGAGAATTTGGACAGTCCTATTGGGTGCGTGCCACTTAGGAAGCAGAAGCTAATGGGATAGTTGGCAGCAACATTTTACACTGTTCTGTAACACAAAAGTGATCAAACAAGAGATTATTGCAGACATTCTAAGTGAAGTGAGCTATTCATTTATATGACTACAGGTTGCACCACATGAGTAATGGGAAATATGTTTGCCACAGCAGATAAAGAACGTGGGTGGTAGAGACGTACTCCCTTCTGAGAAACCCTGTGCCAAAACCTGCTCACATGTGTAGCTTTGCTGTGTGTGTACAGTATCTCACTGTCTTACTAGAGAGGTAATGCTGCAGAGGAGGCCATCAGGCTCTCATTTCCTCATGGAGGAACACCATACCTCATGCATACCATACCTGGCCATGGTATGCTGGTCAGCAGTTAGCAATGGGTGAGAGCTGTGTGTCCCTCATGCCATTCAAATTTTGTACCTTTGAGTTCCTCCTGAAGGTCTGTCCCTTGTAGGGTTCCAGCTGAAGCCCAGCACGCCTGCAGCGTTTGTAAAGCACTTTTCCCACACCTCCGCCTGATGATATCAAAACTCTAGGATGTCCCGTCCTGTCTTCAGTTGCTTCCTCCCAGGGCTCTGAGGTCTCCTTGATATTCCCTTCAACACACTATTGCATACCCCTTTTTCTCTGTGCAGTTGGATATCTCATCCAGATGTCCCAGATGTCCCCTAATTCTTTTAGTATTCATGCTTATTCCAAATATGACCAAACCTCCATCATTCAAAATTGAATCTTCTGGAGGTACAAATATAGTATGGAGGAGGCATGTGAGACAAAGGGGAAGATTAAGAAAACAGAAGGTATAAAAAGCAAGAAGGGAGAAAGGAGAGAAAGGAATCAAACTATAATACTCAAGAAAAAGTGAAAAATTGAATTACAGCTATGTGGTATTGAGATGGACAAAGGAAGGAAATATATATTTTGGAAATCCAAGAGGTCAGTGGTAAAGAAAGAGTGGCAAGGAATAGAAAGAAGAAAAGAAAGAGGAAATCAGGAACAAAAGGTGGTGAAGACAAACATTTAAAATGGAGATAATGGTATATCCCTCCTCTTCAAAGTTTCTTCAAAGCAGTCTTGATAGACTGGTCCTTTAAAAAGAATAGCAACCAAAAGTCTCTAATCCAGAAAATGTCATGACATTAAATCTCACTGCTGGGGTTCTGATCATTTGGTCTTACAGACACCTGATACACACACTGTGCTTCCTAGCTCCCAGCTCTCTCTTCTTTTTTTCTGCCTATAAACACTGGGAAAAGATGGTCCCTTGTCCTCTAGGAGACTGACTTTTCCTGCCAACTGCTACTTATTGCACCCTTCTCTCCCATAGCTAATAATCTGTAAATTATTTTGCTCCCCTCCTATTTCCTTTCTTCTGCTGAGGTAGTGGAGTATCCTTAGAGACTGATAACTATCAGGTAAGGAGCTGCAAGTTTCTACATAAATTAATGTGCACTTCCAAATCTTGAGCAATTGACAGTTGTTTCATTAATTTTGCAATTTCTGCTATTCAGCTGGATGACACCCAGTCTTAAAAGAAAGTCATGCTCCAGATTCTTCCTTAAGCTGCATTTCTTTTGGCTTAGCATCTATCAAACCAAATATGATGTAATTTGGTTTTGAGATTTAAATATATGACGTAATTTGGTTTTGAGATTTAACAGGTGATATCCTAGAATTTGTTAAAGATTAAATCCTTTGGTTCCACATACAGATGAGTATTCAGAAAATCCTTCATATTCTTGGTCCCTCTTAATCTCTAGTCCATGATCTCTGCAGATGCGGTACCTGATGACCTGTAACCCACCATGG